AAGATTATAAGCATAAGGAAATGTAGTGAGGGGGGGGGGGCAGAAGAATATTGAATAAAGTGGACTTGATTTCATTTTTGACAAAAGCACTTATAGAAAACATGTTATTTGACAACTATAAATACGGACCATATACTGCGTGGGAAAAAACTGCACACTTTTTTTAAACACATTCGTCACAAGGTGTTTACTCAAGTTTTTGTTCAGCCTCAAGAACAAAATACATCTGAAATACGTAGAAATAACAGAATGCATGATAATAAAAGTTCGGCATTTGCAATGTTTATAAAGATCATGTTTACACATTATAATTGCAGGCATACCAGGGATTTTTAAAACTCTGAAACAAATAAAGTCATGAAATAAAAGGCCTGAAGAACAAAGCCACTAAAAAAAGGGCTTGAGATTAAAGCCAATTCAACACACGAATTGAGATTCAAACCTTTTAAATATGGGAGTTGCAAGTAAAGCCCCCACAAAAAAAGAAGTTGAGATAAACGCTTTTTAACAAAAAAAACTTGAAAATAAAGCTATTAATCATGCAAATAAAAAAAGTCATTAAATATAGACTTCAGAAATAAAGCCATCAATCATAAGGACTTGAGAATAAAGTCTTTAAAAAATGTACTTTAGAAAAAAGCCATTAATCATAAGGACTTGATAATAAAGCCAATGAACAGACGGACTTGAGTATAAAGCCATTAAACAAAAGTACTTGAGAGTAAATGTCTTGAGAATAAACCCATTTAACCATAGGACTTGAGATAAAATACATTGAATGAAAGGACTTGAGATAAAATACATTGGATGAAAGGACTTGAGATTAAACAAAAGGATTTGAGAATCTCCAAGGGATAAAAAATGCCGTCAATGACCAAACGCGATTGTTGTTTAACCATCTACTCCTGACATCTTGAGACATTGTGATTATAATGGAACATGAAGGAATTGTTTCCATGCAGACTGGGAATACGTCGCAGACATTTCTGCATGATACATGGCTTTACATAAAGCTTTCTTTCAGGCAAGTTTAAAACTTTGTACTCTGATTCAATTTGAATCCATTTTTCGTCTCTTCAGTACTTTGCGCAATCATTCCCGAACTTCATTTCGCTCAAAATTGCAGTATACCACTTTTGAGTATTTTATCTAAGTGGGAACAAAGCTTCAGACATCTAAAAAAAACTATGCATCACTTTTTGATTTTTGATTTTAAATTTTCTAAATTTTATTTAATTAATTTTTTTTCATTTATTTGAAGTTTTTGTAACCTGAAGTAACCATGATTTAAAGTAGCATAATCACAATTTAGTTTGTACGAAAATTTGTAATAAACCTTCAGAAATGTTTGATTCTGTGCTGAAACTTGACTGAAACTCTCAGTTTGGTCAATTTGCTTAAAATTACAATTTTTAGCGTGAAAATTTACGTTTAGCGCAAAATAATCAATTACGCAAATTTTGCGCCAAATTATGTTCATCTTTCGAATAAAAGAAATGGTTTACTTATACCAAAATTCAATCCGACATCTGAATCCTTATGCTTATAGTTTTCCTTCCGACATCTGAATCCTTATACTTATAGTGATCCTTCCGACATCTGAATCCTTATACTTATAGTAATCCTGCCGACATCTGAATCCTAACATTTTACATTTTGTACAGTTTTGAAAGTGAATTATAGTTTACTTTTAAAAAATTTGAACAATCTCTTTAATGAATACTTCCGGGCTGATATCTTATATGTAAAAATTGGAAAGTTATATATTGAGTTGCATTTGGCAAGCTTATAACTAGTCAGCTGATTTTTCAGTATACTGCACGTACATTCATTAGAATTAACAGTTTATGAAAACATTGAATTTATTAGTGAAAATTTACTGTATTTTTTTTGCCAAGGTATTGTAACCAGAAAACATTGTAAATCTAGTCGTCTCTGTTCTTTCTTTTTATTAAGAAATATTGGCAAAGAAATTGCAAACCTTTTTTTAGATATCTAGATCTAAAATTAATCATGAATATCCAACACTAATGGTCCCAGCTCTGATCACATTTATAATAATCAATTATAATTAAAATTTGATAATAAAAACATTAAAAGAAGACTTAGAAAATTGATACCTTTATTCCACTGTTTTTATTATCATATTTTAAAAAAAAGATGAAATTGTAAAATTTATTTTATTTTAAATAAAATATTTTTTTAAATTTAAGATTTGCCAGGAAATTTGTTGCACACAATTTTCAAAATCAATATAATTTCACCATGGAGGGAAACAAAATAATAATAAACAAAAATAATAATAATGCAAATTATGTAGAAATAACAAAGATTTTGTTTTTAATTTGAAAATATAAGTTAATCTGAAATGAATAATAAATGCTATGTTATTATTTCAGAATAAATGTAACTGTGTAAGTTTGCACGCAAAAGAACATTTTTGAAAACATATTTTTATAGAAAATAATGGTTGATTTAGAATTCATAATTTAATCAATAAACAATTACAATCATCCAAAGCTGATGAGTCTGTAAAGACGACGTGAAACTATTAAAAATGAGGATTCCGAGGGTAAATTAAGTCTTCTGCAAAACCTATATAGTCGTTTAATGGTTTATATTTTATTTGACAAAGAAAGGAACAAGTAAACCTTTGCAGGTTGTCATGAATATACAGGGTGTTCCACGAAACATGACAGTTGGTGAATAATTTAAAATATCTTCTGCCAAAATTACTTAACCCTATTCCTGCTGGGGGGGGAGGTCAATTTGACCCCCACCTGTAGTTTATTTACATAGCTCAAAAAGTATTGGTCTGAGGCTGTTGAAATTTTCTGACTTTTCCTAAATACCCAAAGCTCTCCCTTTAGGCCTAAAACCGGGCTTTAATACTAACTCTTGCACACTGCCTAAATGACTGCTTTTTCCTGTAACAAACTAAATCTTTATTTTGACCCACTTCCACTTGTCAGATTTTGATAAAATTTAGTTTTTTGGAAAGCCTTCGACATAAGGAAACGAATTGCACAAGTTTTGCGAACAAAAATTGCAAATTTTTTGCAAACAACCTGTCAAAGGAAATTGCACATTTTTAGTTTTTCTTGATTAAAAATCAAGTTTTTTAAAATTTTGAAATTTTTTTTGCATATTTGAAATGGCATGGTCAAGGGCTTTTCAAAAATGTATAATTTTTCATCTTTTGGACAAAATTTTTTTTGCAAACATTTTTACTATATAACTGGATTTTGCGATAAAAAATTCAATTTTTGCAAATTTGCAATTTTTTTTGCAGATTCTAAAAGTAGAGCACAAGAGCTTTCCAATGATGTATCATTTGTCATATTTGGACATCAAACATGGGATTTAGAGGGGGGGGGCGCATATCCTGGTTTTCAATTACCCCAGCAGAGATAGGGTTAAGTTGTGAAATACCAAAGAGAATTACAAGAATATTGAACGGTTGTCATATTATAGTAAAATTGATTTCAAAGTAAAATATATTTTAGTTAAAGACTTTATTGAACGAAAAAAAGTAAAAAGTCTTTAATATCTATTACAGGGAAGAAGACATTCCAAATTATTTACCAACTGTCATATTTCGTGGGACACAAACAGTGTAAATTTCGTAAAAACGTCTCATTCTTGTAATTTTCAGATAGATAAAATCTGTAAAATGGGAGAAGTGTCAAATAGATTTTCTATGCGGAGTCTTCGTGCCTCATTAGCTTCTGATACTATGGCACCAAGGTTTAATCATATTATAATTACAAGACGACATTTAGATTGATGAAGTAAGACGACATAAATATTTTTGTAAGAAGACGACATTTGTTTCCATACTAGATTATCCCGGGTGAGACAGGAGGAATCTGTTACAGCGTACACTGCTGTTCCTAAACAAGTTCTTAATCTGGTGGATGTGCAGGTAAACCTAGAGTTGGGCATCGGTATTCTTCATTTTTTAAAACTATTCTAGAAGTGTTGGCTTTTAGGAGGCGTCACACAAATTTACAAAGTTTTCTTTCATAAAAGTATGCAAAAAAAAAGCTTTAACAATGTAAAATCAATCAAATGTTAACATGAATAACACCAATTAATTAGATTACTGTATAATTTTTACTTTATTTTTCATTGTCGTTATTTCATAATTAAAACAAAACTAATTCTGAAAACGTATCCACCCCCAAAAAAAGGAGTTTTGAACGTCGAATTTGCGCTCATACTCAGGATTTACATATCTTTAAAAAGTTTAATATGTCTCAAATGAATCCGAAAGAAAATTTTCCGCAACACTGCATACTCAGTTCAACTACCTTACATAGCCAGTCACTCCCTTTAATAGGAGTTTAACTGTGATGTTGTGAGCTGATCAAAAGGTAAATTGCTCGAAGCGGGATGTACTGAGGCAAAGGATATGTAACTCGAAGAATGACAAATCCAAGGCAAATAGGTTAGGGAAACACTCTCTCCAACCATACACAGATAGATGAGAACTTCTTGAAAATGTATATTTCAGTAACGAGGTTTCCTACAAAATACAAATTGTTATTGGCGTACATGCATATAAATAATAATAGTTAATAAAGATTAAACAGTTGAAGGGTTTTTTTATTATCAATAAATGAGTATTGGAATTCTAGGTTTTGTAGGTTTAGTAGGATTGGAGATTTTAGGTTTAGTGGGTTTAGCAGGATTGGGGATCATATTTTCTGTTGTAAATCAATAAATAACGGGTTTAAAGGCACTGTTGTGAATTGATTAATAAAAGGTACTGTTGTGAATGGAACTTACAATCTAGAAAACTGTGTTGGGTCAAAAAGTTGTTTGTACTGAAGTCTAAAGCAAATTTAATTCTTCTGAAAATAAATATTCGTCTGATTAAATAAGTTCACTATTTGATTGCAAATGATTCACTGAAAATTATGTTTAAATGGGTTCTTTTAATGCACTTTAAGTTTTACTAGCTCCATGAGGTTATTTATGCAAAATCCTTGGCAAGGTTTGGTTTGGCGGGTGGCCGGAGTACTCAACGGATTCAACGGAGATACAATTTGTCGGAGACGACTTTTGAAACAGGGTTACATTAGGGATATGGTTCACAGATGTCTTTTAATATTCTCTAGATCAAATCAGCTGATACTTCCAACAGGACAATGCTGCGCACAGTTACAACATTCAAGCATGAGACAAGTAGGGAGAGAAAACGAAGACGATGGAAGGAAAAAATGAAGAATTATTCAGAGCAAACCAAATCAACTAAAAACAAGGTGAATTGATCTTTTCAACTTTTTTTGGGAAAGTTAAAGTAAAAAGCAGAAAAAGCTTATATATTGATTTTAATCAGGACATAACAATTTCGTTGATGTAATTCTATTCCTAAAAATAACAAAGGCATATTTTTAGAAATGATTCGATAAAAACCCTACAAAATGTGAAATAAAGAAAGAAGAAGATTAATTCCACTGTTTTCTGTTTACCACTGTAATCTATGCATTGTTGCAGTATATTCAGATTAGTACCGCTACCCCTTTTCATTTTCATGAGCACTCCCTTTAAGGTTGAGGGTTGGGCTTACTTACCTGATCTTATCTTAGAACAAATATTCCAATATCTTACATACAAGGTAGGTTAACTATAAATACTTAAAGGGACTGTAAAGGAAAAATTAATCTCAGGTTTTGAACGATACTTATAAGACATCTATCTTATGTTCCTGTCTCGAGGAATTGATATAAAACTGTGTCAAAATTATACCATATTTATTTTATGTCAGATTTTGTATAAAAGTTGTAGCATTAAACAAATCATATGCAACCCGCATAGAACAAACGACCCTGTTTTAGAGTCTGAAAACGACCCGCACGACCCCAAAAAC